TACAACTAATTAAATGGAATAAGGACGAAAAAGTATTTCTCGACTAAAAGGTTAAAAAAAAAGTACTCAGCATAAAAATAAAGTATTTTATTTTTTGTTTTTAAAAACATATTTTTTGTTACATCTAGCAGCCAGTAACAAATTGCTGTTGCTCTTAAATACATTAATAGCCTCTAAACATGGCAAACAAAGATTTAAACTAAAAGTTCATGTTTAATTAGTTTTAATGAAGCTTTATTCCTGTCGTCCCGCCACTTTGCGTTCATAACAGAGAATACTCTTTCTGTAAATGCTGAAGAAGCCGGAACGGACAGCAAAACTGACACTACTTTGAACAGATTTGGGAAATCAGGTTGTTCTGTAAATATGGCTTGTCATTTTTCTGTGCAAAATTATTGATGTAAAAGTACTCTGAATTTCGAATAATCGCTTACAAAATTACGATATTTACTTAAGGCCTTAAATAAAGTATTTTTGCGTACTTTATGTGACTTGTAAAGTATAACGTACGCACAGTCGAAATAGAGTACAATACTTAATAATAAAGTACGGGTGGCAACCCTAGCTGTAATTGTTATACCTAAAACTGCCTACTTATGCCATTTTAAAATTTCCGCCAGCTTCGAGCGTCAGGCCTGTGTTTAAATACAAATTATTCTTGTGTGAAATAAGTTTCAATACATACATCTTTTGCTTTTACGTGTAAATCTATTAAGTAACAGGTTCGTTTTTACGGTGGGATTTGATAATTAAAAAGAAAACGAAAAGCCGCTAAATACAAGACAGATATTACGCTATGTACTATTTAGAAGGTTTTCTCTACCTGCATGAGCTAACGTTTGTAATAAAAACTAAATTAAATTTGTAGGACAGTCATATGGTTGTTCATGACCCACTTTTATATAATTTACTTGCAAAGTTTAAAAAAAAAACATATCGTATTGGTTAATTTTAATCGAAGTGCAAAAAAGTTCCTATTAATGCTGACACCATTTTAATATGTCTTTTATAATAACTACACATAAATGCAATTAAACATAGCGATTATAAATTAATTAAACAATTAATTATAAAACGCCTACAGAAAACACCAGTTACGTAACTACTCATTTGTTTAACGACAGGATTTTTATGAAACACAATAAAAATTCATTAAACAGGTATGTATATGTATTTACTATGTTTGCCTTTTTTGCTTTTAAATTGAAAAGATAAAAATTTCTTTTAATTTATAATTTCTTAAACTTTCCAACACCCGAATTTTATGTGTAAATGTACACATGTATAGGGTGACCTCTCTTAATCTCACCCCTTTATAATCTTAGTTTTAGTTAAATTAATTTCAGTAAGGTAATGGAGGCACAGCGAATTTTTTTAATTTACTTTTGTTTAGATCAAAATTTTTTTTTTTAAATGTACTTTCGGAATAGATATTAGTACGTTTTAGATGTAATAACTTATTGTCTAATAAGGTTTTACTCGGCTGGCTCACGTTGATATCTTAAATACGTGTCAAAGATCATCGAAAGTCAATAGTCCTGACCGGGATCACCAAGATAAAACTAAAATGTCTAATTTTGTAGGTTATACATACACTTTATGCAGAATGAGAGTAAATACTGTTCTTTATCGACATGAAATAAAATTTTTTGTATCCCTTGGGATCAATATTTTTTTTCTGAATAAAAGTTACCCTAAGTCTTTTTCTGTATGCCTGACAATGTGTGTGCAAAATTTCATGATAATCGGTTGAGTAGTTAAAGCGTGAAATGGTAACAAACAAAGCATTAAAACGTGAGATAAAAAAACTCTTTAATCTTTTTTTCCTAATACTTTTTATTAATTTGCCGCACCGAAGCATAAAATTTACATAATTAGTGAAAATAAGGGCAACATAACCTCAAAAAGAAAAAAGAAACTAAGTACGTTTTGAAGGTTAGATTATGACTAGTTTAGTTTGCTCTAATTTAGTGAATGAATAATGATTTTAAGGTTTGTTTTAATAATTACAAAATTTAATCGAAGATCAGTATTTCTCTTCAATGGTGCAAATGAAATGACATTAGCAAAAGTTATTTTTTATAATTACAAATTTTATATTCGGTGTTGGCATTTAACGGGCAATTCTTTAAGCTATATCACACCTTAACGAGTCGATTAATAAAATAATATTAAAAATACCTTCGCCTTACAATTAGTAATAAAATTTCGAGTTGTTCATGGACGATTGCAACAGTTAAGATCATTTCGATAATTAATTAATTGCTATAGATTACCTATAAAAAAATGTGACAAATGATAATTTAATATTAAACTTACGTATTTGATTGGTTGGTTTTGGCATCAGATTTTTTTCTTTTTTTGACTCCGGCGGCTAAGGCGCTCATCTTAGCCCACACCGGGTCCTGAAACTCGCAAGGACCAAGCCTGCAACAAGAGAAAAAACCAGTAATGAAAACTAGTCTGCGACACATCAACTCTTGACACACTGCAACACGAACAATGGCAATATCAATGTTGTTGAGAAATTTAAACTTAAAAATGTGCAAACGCCAAAGAAATATCGGTACACATTCGGCTTTATGTATGTACGCGATATTGTACAAACAATATGAACTAGTTATTACACGCAACACCATATGTAAGAACAAGTATGTAAAGGTACCACTATCAACACAAAAGGTATACTACGTAATTGTTTGATGCAGCAAAATAGGAGAAAAGTAGAACGTTTAAAGAATAACGTGCACTATCGAAATCACCAGAAATATACAGTGGTGGCTCGTATTTAGGGTTATCAGTGTACGAGATCTGTCGAATTGTCAAAGTGAGATATTTACGTATGTATTTTTGGGACCTAATAACTACTAAATACTAAAATAAATTGGTATATCTACACTGGAGATGGATTGGGTAGCCGGTTTGAATCCGGTATCCGGCGGATCCGGCACTTTTTTTAGAATCCGGTCGAGTGCTGGATAATGACGCAGTGCCGGGTAATTCTAGTAGAGAAAAAAGAAAAAACAAATACCGGTAATAATAATTTAATATGTACAACTAACTACTAAAATATTTTCGTCTGTGCGAGAATTCGGTATCCGTATGCAAAATATCTCTAGAAATCTATAGAAATAGTCGTTTGAAATAATTTTCTTGCACATAAAACATTTTGGTGTTAACAAAATTAACTATATCGTATGTCCAGTTGCAATGCTGCGAATGGAATTGTAAGATTCCTTTCATAAGTAAAAGTGTGGTTTGAAATATATTAATGTGACGTTTTTTCAGTGGTTTTTTAATTTTTAAATTGTCATAGATTGTTTGGCTGTGGTTAGTAAAGATGACTTTACTATAACTACTACCACTACTACCTGTTTGAATATTCTATTATGATAATATTCCCTCTTATGTCCAGTGCTGGATTTACACTAGGGACACTAGGGGCTAGTGCCCAAGGCGGTAAATTTCCGAGGACGGCAAAATTCGGTGCTTGAAAAAAATTTGCGCTCTCAAAAAAAATGTACATTTACAAATAAAGTTGTTACTTTTTTCAATATTTCGGCAAAAATATCTTTCAAATTAATCAATCGGTTTTTCGGTACTTTTCGTCAATAATATTCTCGAACGAATCAACTGATTTTGATAAAATTTACAGCAGTCAGCGTAGCTTTTCGATTTTCGGCCTGAAATCAATAACTGTCCAATTTTGAAAAATGAGTGGTTTTTAAAGCGGAAAGTCAAAAAGTATTCTGAACCCTCGTCCATTTTGTGTGTGGAATATGGGTACTGTAGCGGCATTTTTTACGGTTTCATTAAGGCAAAGTCCGGCTTACGTTACGTATAAGTAATCGTTTTTCATGATTATCAAAATTAAGATGAATGAATATGACGTNTTAATTTGAGGAAGTGTGTAGTGGATAAAAATTGAGAATATTTCATATTAACAATTTAATAAGCTTAACAAAACACCTACTAAATGAAAATTGGTAATTATGAGTGTATTGGGATAAGTTGTTTGTCTTAATTTGCATTACATGTTATTTCGACATAGTTCTTGTGTTTACTTTTTCTTGTGAACAAGAATACATCAGTATAGCCGAATTGTTACAATTTCTAACTTATTAGAATGATTTTGTCACTTTACAGACTTTTAGGATTTACAAATCTCATAGACTCGTTTCAACATTTTCAACTCGACCCTCTCGTTGAAAATCCGCCAACTGAGAAGTAAAATTTCAGTGGGACTTGTGTCGGTAAGGGTGGTATTAAATAGAAAGCCTGCCAAATTAACCGTAGTAGGTTTGTCGGATGCCCGGCACGGCTAATGCCGGGTTCTCAGTTATCCGACGAAATCTTTGCATCTCGAATTTTCCATCACACGAAACGTTCACATGCTTGTATAAAATCGCCTTCTATTCCAACTTAATTTACCTAAAGAAAATTACAAGAACCGGCTTGATAAACCTTAATACTAAGGGTACATATATGTAGTTTTGCAAATTTATCGCATTAATTAATACAGTTGTTCATTAAAAATTAATATATCTACCTAAAGAAAAAAAGGTATTTAGAATCACAATAGCATTTAACGTTAAACAGCTTTATTGTCATTACTACGCTTTAATTAAGAATCTAAATTTTTATTATTATACAAAAGATAAATTTCAAATTCCATATTTTCGCCATTTTCCGAAAACAGTGTTAAATAAAAGTTTTACATTGTAACCGCAATAATATCAACAGTTCTTTCGTAGTTTCTGATTCGCCCGGTCTACTCCAACTTCTTGTAAGTTTTTCCAAATAATACCGAAGGGATGATCAATACGACGTGGAACATAAAGGCGTCTGGACGTCGGCGGTGTGGGCACGGTAAAACCGATGCGCGTCTGCGCGCACTCAAGTTTAACGCGTCAGTCGAGACGCCATCCGTTGCCGACGTTCCAAGTTCTAAAGACGCCCGTTAAAGTAGCAAATGGCACTGATGCTGCCGCCGCGACGCTACTATTGCGGTAGGTCGGATGGCTGCCTCGGGTGCAACACAGAGCCGATTTTCTTTGGTCGTAAAAACACATGAGCGTAGACTTATGTGAATAATATTCAAAACAACAAGGTAGACAAGCAAGCTCAAATGAAGAACAATAGAAATAGATTGTATTAAAAAGAAATACTTTTCAAATAAGACTTACTAACCAGTGTACAAGAAATATTTGTTTATATAAATAACTACAATAGATTGAAAATAGATAACTGCATTTTTAGGAACAGTCTTCCTACATAGTTTCACTTATACCTTCATTTCTACGATAGTAAAACTTGGATAATTCAGAATTCGTCAACCTAAAACTTGCCTTTCTATATAACAGAACCCCAAAATTCAAAAACATTTTTTGATATGTATTCACTTCTCGACTTAATTAATTAAAAAAATCAGAAAAGGTTAATCATTTTTTGGTGGGTTATGGTAAATTAGTTTTTTTTTATTTTACCAACTTCTAAAACTTCAAATTTCTTAATTTGAAAATTTTGAGCAGATTTTGGTAAAAAACACATTTGAGTGTTTTATTTTCTATCAACTACTAATGTTGAGGAGCGAACAGTCTCTCTAAACTATCCCGAGGGAAGAAAGAAGGTATTCTACAGACTCCTTTTAGGAATCGTGGAAATGGGTGGGTAGTGATTGGAGTTTTTTTCTTCCTACTACTGTCTCTCCCTTCCTTTATTTTACTCATATAATCTTCCATTAGTAAGTGCCAAAATATACTATAATGTTTAAAAATGTTTCCGGTTAACCAGCCCTGATGATCTACGTTTCCTGTGGTTTCCTTGCATAATTTAGACAAATGCTAGGTCAGTGTAATATACAAATACTCTTTTCTCATCTTCTGTCGTCATTACATTAATATCGTTTTCTTCCTAACCACCACATACCCACATGGGTTGCAGGTTGCAGCGTAGGCCCACTCACCAGCATTAGTAATGGTGCGAATGGAATACGCACGTGTTCATTGTTTTGAGTGATTTGAGTTGAGTTGTGGTTTTCAGTTAATATAATATTGTTTCTTATTCTTAAAACGTCATCAAATGACTGCTTTTAGTTTTGATAATACTTTTGACTCTAATAAGGAGTTTCGCAAGTTGCGGTGTGGAAAATGTTAGTTTTGCACAAAAATGATTTGATGAAGCTGGAAAAAATGAAACAAAATGGACGATGGTGAATATTAAAAATCATGAAAAATAAAAAAAAATAACAGCGAATGTCTGACCGTTTTAAAAATGGTTAAACATTGTCGTTGTTTTTTTTTTTCATCGTCAAAGGTTTTAACTATTGGTAAGTACAAACTTTATCACCATTTCATGGTAAATTGAAATTGAATCCGACTGCGCCAAAAGCAAGAACATCGTCAGTTTGAAAGTTTCGCATTTGCTAGACGAGGCGACCCGTGAAGAGATAATTTAGGTACTTTTTTATCATAGAAATTATTCAACGAACATTATGACGTTTCACTAGATCTTTAATTTACTGATATGAGATTCTAATGTATGTAGCCTTCGACAACAGGGTTATCAGAAAAACAGAAAGATGGCAATTAAAAGTGTGCTGAACATATTCTCTTATCTTGTTTCCCGTTATTACATGGCGACTTATTTTTAGAGAGGTTTTAAATGTATCAAATATTAATCATGGATCACAATATTGTTGAACATGATAAACAACTGTTTTCATTCATGATAGTACAATAATTATCTGTAGAATTCGTTCAGCGTTTTTACCAAGAACCATTCTTTTTACCTGTAAAAAAATTTTGCATCTAATGTACCACCTATTCCACATAAAGTGAAAAAATCTGCTTGTGACAGAAACAATAAAATCTATCAAAATACACAATTTCATAATTATGTTCCTATACCTAATTTTTTACCTATAAAAAAACCTTTGCTGTAATTTTAATAATAATAAAAATATAAATGGAATCATTAGACGATAACATTTATCTGATGTGTTGACGTTTATTGCTATTACGTATAAATACTTATTCTGATCGTGAGATACGAACACCATGACGACAATGATAAAAATAACTTCCAGGTTTTCAGTTACACATTAAACGTACATATTTCTTTTTTTCTGGTTTTAATTTATCATTATCTACTACTACATAGCAATATATTTGTGTTACGGCAGCCGTTATTACTGTATTATTACTGTAACGAATGTATTTTCTAGAACAATACATCATATTTTTATCAAAAACAAGTAGTACAATGTCAAAAAGCAAGAAACACAAATTAAATGAATTAATTGAAAGAGTATAATTCGACTACCACCAATCGTTAATAAACACTTGGTACATGAGGAAATTGTCAGGGGGCAGACATAAATTCAGAATTGATTTCATTGCTGATTTCTTTCGCTCTTTAGCGCGAGT